TTTTTTTTTTTTTATTTTTCTAATGAAAAAAGTACTTTTGGTCTTTTTATAAGTGGTTTTTTCACAGGGAGGTTTTTCTGTTTTGTTTTTCATTGAAAACAAAAAAAAAAACGTATAGACGACACAGATTGGTGAAGTGGACTGTGGAATAGTGGCAATATACGGAACTTGGCTATTTATTCATTTGTTGATGGTGGAGGTTGTGCTAGATCTTTTAGTTCAGCAACTTCAATTTTGATCATCTTTTTAAGCCAAACACCTAATTATTGTACGCCACTTCTGTTAAAATTAAAAAATTTATTTCATGAATTAATAATCAACGTTTCATTTAGGGTATCAATACACTAAATTTTTAATAATTCATTTGTTGCACATGAACAATTTTTTTGACTTCAACTTTATGCAGTTAGTTTCATACAATTGTTTTTGGTTTACTATTGTCTTTTTTTCAACAGTTGGGATAAAAAATAAATTCAATCTTCACTTTTTTTTTTCTTATAGCTTTTGAATCAATTATGATGAATGGAGGTTGAGAGAGGAGAATAATTGTTATTGTTTCAGCAGTTCATTTATTTATTAGACACTGATAAATAAGAAAGCGGTATTTGTTTTTACAGTGATAGAGCATTTTTAAATGATAGTGATAATCTTTTAATGGGATGTTGGAAGACAAAAATGAAAATGCATTATCATTGTCAATCGTCGTCTGTATGTCAACCAGTTCAGTATATATACTGTAGTAACTTAATTTTGTGTATGTGTGTGTCTATGTATGTATATGTTTTCGCTTTTCTTTTTTGGATCAAATCATATTCTATCGATACGCTAATGGTCAACGCATTTATAAATAGTATCTTTATTGCTGTTGACAGTGATGACGATGATGACAGTGATGGTAATGGTGAAGAAGAATCTTGTGAACATGAAAAAATAGAGCACTGAATCAGTTAGTGAAAACTGGAATCATTGATTTTAACATGTTGTCAAGAGGTGCTGCACTTTGAGATATTCATCTGTTAATAAGTTAGATGAATAGGTGGTTAGATGGATGGATGAATGGATGGTTGGGTGGACGGATGAATGAACAAGTGGTAATGTTAAGAGCAAAAAGAAAAGTAAACTTAGATAAAGAAGAAGAAGGAAAATAAAAGATGATGTTGGATAAAACCGAATAAATAAAAAATTGGTATCAATTTTTCTGCAAAATTACGAAGAAAACACCGTCATTTTTTTTTTTTGTGCTGATGATGTTGTTTCATGTAATTTACTTGTTTCTTTGCTTCCTCGTCTTTATTTTTACACAGAAATTATTTTGCAGGAACCAGTTACAACAGTGATTTTGAGCGATGATAATGAGAAAAGAAAAGCTGGAAATAAAAGGAGAAGAAAAATAAGCTAATGATTATTCAACAAAGCTAAAAAAAGAATTTTTTCTTCTCTGTTATTTGCTGTGCTATTACCTGTTAAAAAATTTAGGGTAACCTTTATCAACAGTGAAGATGACAATGACGACGACCATCTTTTGACAATTAGCTGTATGGGCAATATTGTTGGACTTGAGAAAGGTCAAAAAAAAAAAGGCAGACTGTTTCGTCTTTTGTTTTTTTTTTTCTTGTCTTGGCCTTGATCATCAGTTGTTTAGGTGAGGTATGTAGATCTCAGAAGAAAAAAAAAAAGAAAGGAGATGAAAACATAACAAGAAGGCAAAGGGTAAGCAG